AATAACCTAGTTTTTTCAGGTGTTGCTTTCAGGCTAACAACAAATTCACATAATGCCCGAGGAAACGTGTACTTCTTTTGAGTTTGTGAGCTCAGTGATTTAGTCAGGATTCTTTGTTTTTATCACGTAGATGTTGGTATCTAGCCCTCATCTGTGTTGAATTCTGACATGAAAACAGGAAGCTCTGGCCCCCTTGCTTTATATGGTACTTGGGATTTCAGATGGGCTCAGTGACCTGTTTAAACACTTCAAAAGCCTTTATGAGTCTTGCACAGTGTTTCTCTTACTCAAAGGGCCATTATCCTAGGGAGCACTATGCAGCCATGTAAGGGGTCGTTATAGAAGACTATTTAATAATATATTAGATATCTATGAAAAGGGGGGCTATATAAGGATGTAAATAAAAATATTTTTAAATAGCAGATTATAGATCATTGGTCCTTTTTTTTCTTTTCTATATTCTTATATTTTTATATAATGGGCATTACTTGGGGGAGCAACCATTCCCTTACTTCTCTGTGCAGGTACTTCCATGACTAGAGCAACTTCCCAGCCTCTCTATCTGGTCCTTACTTTCTCCTTCTCAAGGTAGATGGAGAAGTAAATCATTTGTTTGGAGGGTAGTAGGGGTATGAAATTCCATGACTCATGCTTTTTGAATGAGTGAGACCAACCAGTAGGAAACTTGAAGCACCGGTGGCATTCTCCCTACCATCTTCCTACCACCAATGATATCTGCGCCCCAGACCCAAAGCTCCCTCTGATGATCTGTGCTAAGGTCTAGACTTGCGAGGGATGAGACTGGTGAGCCCATTTGGCTGTAGAACGAAGTCACATTCTTCCATTAACTTAACAGTAATGAAGCTGAGATTTTTCATCTCCATCTGTTTGACGTCTGTGTTTGTTTGTTTTTTCAGTTTTCCCCAAACTCAAGTAGTCAAAGAAAAGGTTACTTTTAAAATTGTAGGCTGCTCTGTGTGCAAATAGTATTAATAGGTGCTGTTTTTAAAGCATCCATCTTGTCGATTGCTTTATTGCATCATCTCAGTGAATTTTTACAATAATCTTCTAAGGCTGGTTCTATTATTATCCTTGTTTTTGTAGAAAACAAAAACAAACCCAAAAAACTAATGTTCAGAGAGTATAAGATGCTGCTCTTCATGGAACATTTATTCTATAATTGTGGATGCAGGACTGAAGCTTCAGGGAAACCAAAAAGGGAGTTTTCTGTCTAGATTTGCAAACCTATTTACTGAACTACTGTTAGAATAGTGAAAACTGAAAGGAACAACTGTGCAAACTCTTTCCTTCTTGGAGTTTCACGTCTCTTGTTTATTAATAAAGTCCTGTTGCCAACATCTAATATTCAAGCCGACATGTATTTGCTTGTTTAACTGAAAGCTACCACCCAAACTCACCCCAGAGCAGATATATGTGTGGGTGGGAGGGAACCCATCCCCATGCTAGAGAGATGATTTTCAAGGGCCTACTAGGGGCTTAAGTAACTTTAGGTGACAAAAATTCAGATATTTAACCAAGTATGTGATCAGCATTTCTCTTGGCTGAGTGAACTGCCAAGGGAAGGGGAAAAACTAAGGCATCTATTGGGGATTTGGCCAACAGACTGGAGAAACAGGAGACTATGGGAGATTTCTAAAGATTATTGCTATCTATCCAGCTGTTATTACTAAAAAAAACCCCACAAAACTGATGAGTATCGCTTTAGCTGGGAGGCTGGGCAGGAGGTTGCCAGGGTTACCAGATACTAACGTGGAAAATAGCTGCTTAGAGCACA